TGTGTGCCGTCACAGAGGGACCTAAGGCCATAGGTACTGATCTGTACTTCGCATGGTAACCTGTCTGGCAATCATACCAGGAATTGGGGGCAATTAGGGGAGATGCTTGTGGTTGAGGGTCATGTGCTGGATCTAGAGCATGTGTGCAAGAATTGTCGATTGTGGTGTTGGATGTGTGTGTGTGTGTGTGTGAGTGAGTATGGACAATGCTGCAATGCAGGGGTGGGGTGGATATCGTGACCGGTATGGTTCCTCTTTTGAACACCTTGTCATGGCTGCAGTAGTTACGATGCTTTGATCTTGACACCAAGGGTGCCCGTTCAAATCCGTCTGCCATCATGAAGGCACCTAAGGCCATAGGTACTGATCTCCACTAGCTGTGTTTTGATTGGTTTGCTGCTTTTCCCGCATCTTCAGCAACTTTGTAAGGTGGCTGATATCAGTGATACTCTGTCATATTATGAACTTTGTGTTCTCTTTTCAACTTTTTCATCTATTCAAGCTGTTTAGGACCTTTAGGTTGATTTGAAGTCAGTAGACTTGGTTCAGTGGTGGTGCTCGTGAAGTTGTAAATTTGGGGGTGATGGTCGGAAACTGACAATGGAGGTGTGAGCAGTGCTGAGGGCATACTCACACTACCGTCTTCACCCGAATAGAACGCCCGGTCATTATAGTTGTATTTGGCGGAACATCCAGTCCAGATATAGTGATAATGACGGGGCGTTCTATTCGGGTCAAAATGGTAGGACTTTTTCTACTAAGCTCTGGACGTGATTGCAGTGAGATTGATCTAGGTATGACTGCAATTAGCAGCCAGATACATTTAGGAAAGTGCTAGTGGGTGTATGCATGCCCTGAGAGGAGCAACTCCCGCCTCTTGTAGCAGTATTGCCCCTCTCAGCATTGCTCCCACCACAATCATTAGATGATTATAGCAATGATTATCAGATGACGTCATAAAATCATGGTAACCCCGGACCCGGACACCGGACACTTCCGGACTGTCTTCTGGACCAGTGTCTGGACCGGTCCGGACTGTCCGGTGATCTGGACATTACCGGACACCCGGACATCACAGGACCCGGACAGTCTGGTCCGGTACCAGGGGTGCACAAATGTCCGGACCCAAAAAAAGAAAAAAGAAAAAAAAAACGGGGGTGGGGGGGTGG